CAGACAGACAGACAGACAGACAGACAGACAGACAGACAGACAGACAGACAGACAGATGTAGTAGATAGATAGCACTTGGACTTATATACCACTTCACAGCCCTCTGTAAGCGGTTTACAGAGCCAGCCTCTTGCCCCCAACCATCTGGGTCCTCATTTTACCTACCTCGGAAGGATGGAAGGCTGAGTTAACCTTGAGCCGGTCAGGATCGAACTCCTGGCAGTGGACAGAGTTAGTCTGCAATAATGCATTCAGGTAGATCGAGAGAGAGAGAGAGAGAGACAGATAGACATAGTAGATAAATAGCAATAGCACTTGGACTTATATACCACTTCAGAGTGCTTTTATAAAAACGAACACAGGGCATGCATAGGCTTTGGGAGGCTTGTAGAGTGCTCCAGGGGAGCAAAAACGAGCAAAAAACGTCCCGTTTCGTGCTTGTTTTTGCCCTCCCCAGGCCCCCCCAGAGTACTTTGCAGGCCTCCCAAACCATCTGCACGTCCATTTTTGCAAAAGGGGCCGGGGCTTCGGGAGGCCTAAAATGTATTCAGTGTATAAGACGCACCCAGATTTTCACCCTTTTTTGGTGAGTACAAGGTGCGTCTTGTACTCCGAAAAATACGGTAAGTCTGCTATTGCTATTATTTTATTCATTTCTAAATCTGTGTGCCACCCTTCTCTCCTAGAGGCGACTTCTGTTTTATTTTCTCTTTTAATCCCAGCCGCAAAGCATTGCATAATTTATTCTGATAGCTCTGGGCAACTCTTAGCCTTGAATAAGTGCCCTTTGGTCTTTATATCTTAAAGAGATAAGGAATCATTATCATTCCTTCCTAATCTTTCGTAATCTAAAGCCCAGGAAGCGATGTCACTCCCAGGGACATTCCTTGCCATAAAACCTATCTGAACAAAAATGCAGAAAGCATTGACCTTTGACCCCCAAACCTCCACCCTTTTCCAGTTGGTCACCTTTGGAATTTTCTCGATAAAGCGAATCTTTTTTTTTTTAATAAAGAGTTTTATTATTTTTCAGTTACAAAAATAAACATTCCATCTTTCCTTATGCAATGTGTTATCTGGGTGCAAGTATCTCTGTGCAACATCGTTCCTCTTTTGCCATATTTTTCACATTTATATTAACCTTATTTCCCTAAGTTTAGTATTATAATATATTAAGCATTTAAACTTTATAAAACTCTCAATTTTTCTTCTTAGTATCTTCTATCATGATATCATATTAACATCAAACATCATTATTCTCATCATATACCGTATTTTCACGACCAAAAGCCGCACCGGATTATAAGCCGCAGTATCAATTAACGTTAATT